CCAAAGGACATTAGTGAACCAGATGGGTTTTTCCAACAATTGACAATGGATTCGTGGTCATCATTAGACTCTTAATTCCAGTTATTTATTGAATTTAAATTCCACCATCTGACGCGGCGGGATTCAAACCCAGGTCCCCAGAACATTATCTGGGTCTCTGGATTCACAGTCCAGCGATAATACCACTAGGCCATCGCCACCCCTACATGATGATGAACTGTAACAGTCATATTTACCAATACATCGACACTGATATTAAAAAATTCCAACAGGCATTACATATGACTGCTTTCATCAGCAGGATATAGACAGAACAATAACAACATGGGACATGACTGTCAATTGCACGGGACAACAGGAATACATGAGAAAGGTTATAGGACCCCACTTTCAATTGAAATGAACAGGCTGGAAATTAACTTTTGATGCTTTCCATGAATTCTGAAAATAAGTTTAAAACAATCCAGCTATTATGATAATCATATGGTGTCAGCATATTATAGAACCTGTAGTTATGCATTACCTCACAAAATAGTTGATGGAATTTGCATGTGAAACAATTTTGTGAAAGCAGGAACGCGCCATTGAAGGCTTTTTGTCAAATGCCAACATGCTTTTCAAAGGAGAGTTTTTTTAAAATTAAAAAATGTTAACTAAACTAAAACTAAAACAGACTAAAGGGGTTGGCACGGTTGCTCAGTGGTTAGCACTGCTGCCTCATAGCACCAGGACCCCCAGTTCAATTCCACCCTTAGGTCACTGTCCATGTTGAGTTTGCATGTTCTCTCCATATCTGCGTGGGTTTCCTCTGGGTGCTCCAGTTTCCTCCCAGAGTCCAAAGATGTGCAGGTTAGGTAGATTGGCCATGCTAAATCATCCATAGTGTCCAGGGATGTGTAGGTTAGCGGATTAGCCGTGGGAAATGCTGGGTTATACAGTAGTGGGGGAGGGTTGGGTGTGGGTGGGATGCTCTTTAAAAGGGTCAGTGTGGACTCAATGGGCTGCATGGCCTGCTTCCACACTGTAGGATTTCTATAATTTTATGTACAAAAATGTCAGCTTATCACATTATAAAGAAAAGCATGTTGTGCTCCTTAGGGAGACAATGCAATCAGTGTTGAATAATCTTATTTTAAATTATTTCAATTTTCTGGATACAACGTTGTTGTAATTTGAGACATTCTTTGTGTTGTCTGTAGACAAACAGATAGCTATGATTAGTTAATAACTCCATTAATGCCATATCACATGATTCCCCATCTGACTGGACATCACCTTTTATCTGTGAATGAAGGGTTTCTTCCTAAACTTTTATCAACTGGGGCCCCTGTATACTAGTTCTCCTACCAACAGCAGAATACTTATTGGACTACAAAATATAGTTGACATTCTTATTGTAATATTAAAAACAAAATATAATTACAGCACCTGTAAATGCTTCAGACTGTTACCGTTTTCACAAAGCTGGAACCAGATACTGAACAAAATTAAAAGTGTAAATAATTCCTACTTTAAGTTTTACCAGATGCACAAAAGACAAAAAAAATTCTAAATGTGGAGCCAACTATTGGTAATTTATCATCTAAATAAACAATTTCCTAAATTTTACACATACAAACTTTGTTAAAGTTGCATTTTGTTCTCACTCACTATTACTTTGCCCTCACTGCAACAAACCCCCAACTTCCCCAGTACTGTCCTGTTCACAAGTTTGTGCACACTTTGAGTTGGGGCCTTGGAGGAGAAGAGAGACTAAGGTGAGAATTTGATGGCACCAATGCAACGTAATGAATTCTGTCTATCGGAAGGAAAGCACTTACTCCCTCCTGGGCAATGCTGTGTAGTAGCATGGTTCAGAGAACGGTAACTCTTACTGCAGTTATACAGGGCCTTGGTGAGACCACACGCGGAGTACAGTTCTAGTCTCCTTACCAAATAGTTGCCTTGGAGGAGTGTAGCAGAAGTCCACTCGGCTGACACGAGGGATGACCAATGAGGAGAGATTGGCTCGACTACTTTGTGTTGCTTGTGAGCTGTGTGCACACATTCAGCTTTTGGGGATTATTGTTCTTAATGATTCTTGAACTAGTTCATCAGAATATCATTCAGAGTTTTCATTCTCATAAAAAAACAGGGCAGTAAAGCTAAATCCTTTACAGCTAACACTATGGAAGTTAGGAAGTCTTACAAAGTGTCTAAATGATATTTTGACATCAAGACTTAAAATAATTCAAATGTTTAATCAGACAGTCAGTCAATTTAATTTAAACCGAAAGAACTGCGGATGCTGTGAATCAGGAACAACAACAAAGTTGCTCGAAAAGCTCAGCAGGTCTGGCAGCATCCGTGAAGGTAAAAAACAGAGTTAACGTTTTGGGTCCGGTGACCCTTCCTCAGAACTGTTCCGAAGAGGGGCCACCAGACCCGAAACGTTAACTGTTTTTTCTTTCACAGATGCTGCCAGACCTGCTGAGCTTTTCCAGCAACTTTGTTTTTGTTCCTGAGTCAATTTAATTTGTTTTGAAATTCAATACATAAACAGGTGTCATTTAGAGCTCTTCTGGTACACTGTTAGCATCCCTAGTTCTGGGCCAGCAGGTCTGGGTTCAAGTCCCACTGGTTCAGAGCTATGTAATAACATCCCTCAACAAGTTGATTAAGAATATCTATTATGAATTCTTTGTTGTCACATACATCTAGAAGATACAGTGAAAAGTGTTTTGTCACCACAATCCAGGGCTAGTGTTTGTGCTCCTGAGCCTGTTTGCTCCAGGCCAGTTGTATCCTTCTCTTTCTCACTTTTCTTTTTACTTCATCTTCTGATGGCGTGGTGTAGCTTGAGCAGTGGTCGGCAGGTCGCCTGCAGCAGTGGCAGTGCCCAGTGTGGGGACTCCTGGCCAGGGGAGGCCTGGAGTGTGGACTCGGTGGGTTGTTGGCTGAGACGGTGGCAGTGCCAGGAGTGAGGACTTCTGGCTACGGTAGGTCTGGAACCAGGACGTGGGGACTAAGCAGGTCTTCAGCTGTGACAATGGTAATGCCTGGCGCAAGGACTCCTGGCTGCTGTAGACTTGAAGCATGGACTCCTAGACTCAGCAGGTCTATCCGTAAAATATAACCAGGGAGGAAATCTTAAAGAAGGCTCTTGTGGTGGTAATGGGAGTATGCCTACCCGAGTCAGGAGATCCAGATAAAAGTCCCACACACTCCAGAGGTGTGTATTAACTCCACTGAACAGACTGATTAGAAAATATTTTTAAAAAGCAGGTGCCATTTAATATTGATAACACAGTGTGGAGCTGGAGGAACACAGCAGGCCAGGCAGCATCAGAGGAACAGGAAAGCTATCGTTTCAGGTCGGGATCCTTCTTCGGTCCCGACCCGAAACATCAGCTTTCCTGCTCCTCTGACACTGCTTGGCCTGCTGTGTTCCTCCAGCTCCACGCTGTGTTATCTCTGACTCCAGCATCGGCAGTTCTTACTATCTCTGCCATTTAATATTGGTCCATTTTCAAACATGTTTGGCAGATTAAGTGCAGAAAACTGGGTTTGCAATGACACTGCCAATGTTCTAACCAAGACCAAGACCAAGTTCCATTCACCTGTGACCTGTATTCAGTGACTTCCATTTGCCTCCAATTAAACAATGGTTTCATTTTGAAATTCTCAACCGTTTCCAAATCCTTCCACGCCTGTGTCATTTCCTACCACTGGAATGTCTCCCAGTCCAATGCACCTGCACTTGTCTAATTCTAGACATTTGAGCATTCCTGATAGTGGTATGAAATCTAGAATTCCCTGCATAAACTTCTCTGCCTCTCGTTTCCTCTTTGTAACATACTGTAAAAACAATGTTTGAATTAATATCTCCTTAGGTGGCATAGTGTCAAGATCTTTTCTTCCCCAAAGCACATTGGAACATTATTACATTAAAAATGCTATAGAGTCATAGATTTACACAGCACGGAATCAAGCCCTTTGGCCCAACTCATCCATGCCTACCAGGTTTCCCAAATTGAGCGAGTCTAATTTGCCTGCATTTGGCACAAATCCCTCTAAACCTTTCCTATCCATGAGATGCCGGTGCTGGACTGGGATGGACAAAGTCAGATGTCCCACAAGTTTATTTAAAATCACAAGCTTTCAGAGCATTGCCCCTCCGTCAGGTGAAGTGGGACTTCTAATGTTGTGCTTTCCTATCCATGTACCTGTCCAAAATGTCTTTTAAATATTGTAACTGTACCAACCTCCACCACCTCATTCCATATATGCACCACCATCTATGAAAAAGTAGCTCCTCATGCTCCTTTTTAATCTTTCCCCCATCACCTTAAACTTATGCCCTCCAGTCACTATTATTCATTGCAAGTGCCAGCTCTATACCTGAAAGAGCAATGCTGTTTAGAAGTTGAAACTAATATCGGCTGTAACTTCATCCAAAAACATATTTTTCAAAGCACTCAGATGTTTCTTTCTGGCCACCTTAAAATTCATCAAGGTCTTTCTCACCTATTCCCATCCAAACAGGGCTTGAATTGAGCAGTGATGGCAAAATCTGGTTAAATATGATCTATAAGCTTGCATTTAAGCCACAAGTGTATTGAGAATTTCAGACTGTAAATAATCTGACAGAGGGTTACAAATAAAATTTTTCTAACACTGAACGCAAAAAAAAGCTCTCTCAACATGAACATTTACCTCAAATAAAACAAAAATTGACAAGTTAAATCAGCTTTGCAGAGGCAAAATACTGTGAATTGTGGAAATTTGAAGTACAAACAGAACATTTTGGAAATGTTCAACTTATGCAGCACCTGTGGAAGGGAAAACAATTCACATCTTAGGTTAGTTATGCTTTGTCAGACCAGTTTTAACAAAAGGTCACCAAACTAGCATATTGGTTTGTTTCTCTGGTCTGCACTTCCAGCATTTCACATCGAAGAAGAACAATGTTGAATTATGTATATTTTCACCAGCTATTTCAGAATGGAGTTGTTACGTACATTTTTTCTGTTGAAGCATCTTTCTTCAAGTTTCTCAACTGCAATAATGTTCTTTATCAGGATACTGTAGAGGGACTCTTTACCTATGCAAAAAGATTCAACACAAACAGTTAAGTTTTATCTGGATAATTTTGGGCAGTAATACAATCAGACTTAATAAAATAACATTGAGAGTTAGATACACATTCTGTCTGCTACTTGTTAAACATGAATCATTAATGTTCTGCACAATACTGGAAAGATTTAATTAAGAAGCAATACTATCAAGTTAATATCAAAAGGTTCAGAGTTTGTACATTGCCTACAGCCTCACTCTTCATGCTTTTGAAAATATATGTCAAAAGGAGTCATGCTTTATCTGTCAAATTGTGCATTAAAGCAAGCTGAATTGTACAACTCCAAAAGGCAGTGAATGCTGCAGAAAAGAGTGACTTCATTACTCATTCCTGTCCAAAACGACATCATATTGAGAGCTGGCAAATTCTGAAAAAAGTGTCAGCTTCAACATTTGATCACTTGCCAATCGAATGAGGTTTTCCTCTTCCTTTGGTGATTAGCTCTTGGTTTTTCAGAGTTAAAAGGATTCTGATTCAGTAATCACTATCTGCATTTCCAGTTTCCATAAATATACAGTACTGGTCACCGTAGAAGGATGATAATACATTGGAAGCAGCTCAGAGAAGGTTTACTAGACCAATATCTGAAATGAATGTAGTGCCTTATGATGAAAGCTAGACAAGGTAGGCTTGCATTCTCTGGCTATGTTTTGCCTACCTTTCAATTATGACCAAGTGTGGAGGATTGCAGTGTCTATAAAGTTCTGCTAGTCCACTGATGGTTTAAATATATTTAAACATTCTCTCCAATTATCAATGTGACCAGTTAGATAGTTTGTCTACATTAGGGCCAGAACAAAATACTCCAACCAGGTTTCTTTAAACATAATGCAGGAGCAAATTACTGCAGATGCTGGAATCTGTACTGAAAACAAATGGTGAAGATCACAGCAGGTCAGGCAGCATCCATGAAAAGAAAGCAAGCTGTTTCAAGTCAAGGTGACTCTGAAGAAGAGTCATCTAGACTCAAAACATTAGCTTGCTTTCCCTCCATGGATGCTGCCTGACCTGTTGTGCTCTCCAGCATTTGTTGTTTTCTTTAATAAACAGAAGTTTTGATTTATTATAAATGGACAAATTCAACACAAATGCAAAGCTGACAGAACTTGAAATATGAAAGTATATATATTTACCCTTCAAAAAACCCAGCACACATTAGAGGGAAAATAAAGAAAATTTCTGTGCAGAAATTAGTTTTGGGGAAAAAAGGACACCGGCCAAATACCTGTTAATTATTGAAGTAAAAAGTATATGTTATGAAATGTTTTAGACTGCTTTCAGTCTCTGGTGTTCTTGTTCACACAGACAGGTTACTAAGCACAGACAGCTGTCACTAGGAATTCTTTAGATGCGTGTCCAGGTGTCGTCCAGAGTGAGTCTTTCAGATGACTTACTTTTTAAGGAGCATAGCTGTTACAGATTTTCAGCTTTTACATGGAATTCATGGTGAAGAACACTATAAACATCCCAAAAGATGTCAGATAAACAAGGTGCCAATGCGAAGAAAAGTTTTATTATAGTCTCTAACATGAGAGACGAAGTATCTGGCAAATTAATGAGACTGAAGGCAGATAGGTTGCCAGGACCTGAAGACAGGTGCCCATGGATTCTAAAGCACGTAGCTGCAGACACAGTGGAGGCACTGGTTGAAATATTAGAGAACTCATTGAATTCTAGGAAGGTTCTGGTGGATTGCAAAACTGCTAAAGTGATGTCCCTGCTCAACAAGGGAGAGACGTGGAAAGCTGGAAACTACAGGTCAGTTAGCCTAACTTCTGCCACTGAGAAAATGCCAGAATCTATTAAGGAAGAAATAGCAGAATATTTAGAAAAGCTTAAAGCAATTACAGTCCACATGGTTGTGTAAAAGGTAAATCACGTTTGACAACTTCGCTTGGGATTTTGAGGATATAACAGAATTGATAAAGGGGAACACGTATATGCAGTGCATTTGGATTTCCAGAAAGCAACCGATAAGATGTCACATAAAAGGCTACTGCACAAGATAGGAGCTAATGCATTGGGGTAATATATTAGTATGGATTGAGTATTGGTTTACACACAGAAGACAGAGCCAGGCTTAACGAGTCTTTTTCAGGTTGGAAAGATGCAACGAGAGGAGTGTTACAAGCACTAGTCACAGAGCCATACAGCAATGGAAACAACAAGGTGCAGGGCTGGATGAACACAGCAGGCCAAGCAGCATCA